CCCCAAAACCCCAAAACCCCAAAACCCCAAAACCCCAAAACCCCAAAACCCCTTATTTAGGTTGTCAACTTGAAATAATCAGAAGTGAATTCCCAACCGAAAATACAAATCTTCATTAAAACCAACGATCAAAGAGATGGAAAAAGATATTTTGGTTTTAACAACATTAAACCGATTATTTAGTTCTTCTTGACAGTAGTGGTGGTAGAAGCTGGCTTGGAGGCTGGCTTGGCGGCTGGCTTGGCGGCTGGTTTAGCAGTGGTAGTAGTGGTCTTGGCTGCAGATGGCTTAGCGATTGGCTTAGTGACTGGCTTAGCAGCAGTGGCAACTGGGGCAGATCTAACAACAGGGGCTTCCCAAGCACCTCTCCATCCATCTCTCCATGCAAAGTCATCAACGACGGCTCCGTTCCATCCGTTCCTTCCATTCCATCCGTTCCAGGTGTCCCATCCATTGAGTCCGTATCCCCATTCAGGAACTCCCCATGGTCCATCAATGTATCTCCAGTCATCAACGAATCCGGTAGCTGGTACTTCTCTAACGACTGCACCATCAGCTCTCCATGATCCAGCTGGGAGGACTCCATCAACAGCAGCGACTCCCCATCCATTGTCCCATCTTCTCCAGCCATCTCTCCAGTCAAGAGCTCCATCTCTGTTCCAATCAGCTCTGAGCCAGTTTCCATCCCATGGTCTTTCACCTCCGAGCCAGAAGTCGTCTCTCCAGTCAATTACTCCATCTCTGTTCCAGTCATGAGTGAGTCTCCAGTCATTAGCGACTCCCCATCCTGCTCCCCAAGGAAGTCCTGGCTCGACGACGCCTCCAACAACACCTCCGTTGACAACGTAAGCGCTGGACACACAGAGCACCATAGCAATAGTGGCAATAAGAATTTTCATATTTATTTTTATACCTGAATTAATTTTACTCAGATTAAATATTCATTTCAGCACAAAAGTGATCAGTCGGGGTTTTGGGGTTTTGGGGTTTTGGGGTTTTGGGGTTTTGGGGTTTTGGGGTTTTGGGG